AAAATTTTTTATTTTTTTTTTTTTTTTTTTTTTTTTTTTTTTTAGATTTCCTTTAATATGCAAAATTACGGTCAATATAAAAAAAAAAAAGATATATTTGTTCAGGAAGTAAACGAATATGATTATAAAATAAACAATAGGAAATTAATAATTTTGATTTTTCTTTTAATTATAACAATAGCTTATTTTATCTTAATAACGTTTCTCTTATATTATATACAAAAAAAATTCTTTATTTGGTTTTTTGGATGTTTTTTTCTTATTTGTGTTTTTTTCTTTATTTTTAACTTTATGATGTTTAAATCTGTTACATATTCTCATGATTATGTTGATCATATAAAAAATAAGAATTTTTCCAGTATATTTAATTTAAGCAATATTCATAATTTTAAATTATTAATATATGATCTATTAAGAATAAAATTATGTAAATTTTATGGTAATTTATTTTCATATATTATTCTTATTATATCTATCTTAAAAATTTACTTTTTTTTTTTTATAAATTATTTTACTTCTTTTATTAAATACAAAAATCATTTCCTTTTAATTACTATGCCTATATTTCTTTTTGTTTTCCTTATGTCTTTATTAAGTAAAAAAAAAAAAAAAAAGAAAAAAATTAATATAAAAAATACAACATATGCAATTCTATAAATAATTATAAATATTCCTATGATTATATGTTATTAAAAGTATATAATATGAAAAAAATAATTTAATAAAAAAAATATGATTATAACTTATTTTTATTTATTTATTTATTTTTTTTTTTTCTTCTCTTATTAGGTTCTTACACATTTTTTGATTTTAGTTCAAGTTTTTTAAAATGGGTAATGTTATTTTATCATATTCAAACAAATAAGAAGTTTTCTCCATATGAAATATTCAATAAATTTCTTTTTTTCTTTTTTGTATTTTATATCACATCTATATTTTTATTTATTTTTCTAAAAAAAAACCAAAATATAGTTAAAATTAAGGAAATACCTCAAAATTCTTTACCTTTTGATAATATGATTATTGACGACCATAATATTTTAATATATTTTAAAGCATTATTGTATAGTATTGATAAAACTTTTGAGAAAGTAAGAATATTAAAAGAAAGATTTAGAATAAAACAAATTATTGATAATGAAGTTCAGTATTATAACCAATATTGCCATTATCTAATGATACAAAATGCATTTTATGAAAATCAACAAAATTTATTAAAATTTGATGATCCGAATATGAAAACACCTATAAGTTATCAAATGGAAAATTTTCAAAATAATCCATATCAGAACATAATGAATAATCAAACTATGAGAAATCAAATAATAGATAACCAAATGGTTAATAATCAAAATATGAATATTCAAAATATGAATAATCAAAATATAGGTAATCAAAATATGAATATTCAAAATATGAATAATCAAAATATAGGTAATCAAAATATGAATATTCAAAATATGAATATTCAGAATATGAATGATCAAAATATGAATAATCAGAATATGAATAATGAAAATATGAATAATGAAAATATATATGATCAAAATATGACTATTCAAAATATGAATAATCAAAATATATATGATGAAAATATGAATGATCATAATATAAATAACCAAAATATATATGATCAAAATATGAATGATCATAATATATATGATCAAAATATGAATAATCAAAATATATATGATCAAAATATGAATGATCATAATATAAATAACCAAAATATATATGATCAAAATATGAATGATCATAATATATATGATCAAAATATGAATAATCAAAATATATATGATCAAAATATGAATGATCATAATATAAATAACCAAAATATAGGTAATCAAACAGTAGATAATAAAATTATTAATAATTGGAATATGAATGATCATAATATAAGTAATCAAAGCATAAGTAGTCAAATAAATAGAGAACAAATCATAAATACACAAATGTCTACTGGCAAATATGGTGATGATACAAAAAAAGAAAAGTATGAATTAAAGGACCCCAACCATATGAACCTAACTAAAAATAATTTCATTGATAATTCATATAATATGAGTGAACAAGAAGTAATAGTAAAAACAGATATTATGTATTCCTTTTTTACAAGACATTTAAATGAAAAATATGATTTCAGCTTTTTATATGAAAAAGAAAAAAAGAATGTAGTTAGTTTTTTAAAAGAAGGTATTTATGATCATAATCATATAGAAAAAAAAAAAAAGAAAAGAAAAAAAAAAAGAATTCAATTGAAAATGATGCTAGAAAGTTTATGCAATGATTTAGAAAATATAAAAAATATAAAAATATCATTAACATATATTATTCTTTTGAAAATAAAAAAAAATATATTAAAGCAAAATTTAAAGAAGCTAAATTCTAATAAAAAGGAGTTGAAAACAGAATATCAAAATAAATTATTATATAAAAATCATTTATTTAATATACAAAAAAACTTATCTAAAGAAATTGAATCACTAGAAAAAAGGATTTTAATTATAAATGAATTAAATAAAGGAATGGTTCATGTTATAGATGACAGCATTTGTAAGAAAGAAAAAAAAAAAAAAAAATATATCTATGTTTTTTCTAAATATATTTTCTTTTTTTTAATGCAAATATATATATATATATATATATATATATATATATATATATATATATATATATTTATAATTATATAGTTGTATACATTAGTATATATATTTACAATTAAAGTTCTTATTTTTAAAGTATTTTTCAATATCTTTTTTTTTTTTTTTTTTTTCTTTTTTTTACATTTCAGTTTACAAAAAACAAGAAGATAAAGATGATAAAGATGATAAAAATGATGAAGAAAATTCTGAGAAAAAAGAAAAATCTAAAAGAGGTGTATTTGGTATACCAATATTAGAAAAACAAAAAGAAAAATAGTTTTATTTTTCTTAAAAATATTAAAAATAATATTTTTTTCCTATATTACCATAATATTTTGATTACATGTTAAAAGATTAAGTTAAAAAAAAAAAAAAATATATTTTTTTAATTTTTTCTATCAACATTACAAATTAAAATTTATACTATATTTCATTAACATAATTATAAAACATTCTATAAATAGATTATATTTTTTATAATATAAAGAATGATTCTTTATTTTCATATTATTTTTCATTCTAAAAGAATAATTTTTTTGTAATTTTTTTTTTTTTTTTTAAATGTAATTCTCTTTTTGATTCTCTCATTTCTCATTAAAAATACTATGTCAACGTGTACATCATATTATTTTTATTTAAAATAATATTTGATAATATATTCATATTTTTTTTTTTTTTTTTTTTTTTTTTTTTTCTTTTGATTATTTTTTATAATGAATAAAAAAAACAATACAAATGTCAAAATAAAACATTTCTAATAAAATTTAATTTATTCAAAGTAGTAACAATATATATATACATATATATATATATATATATAATTTCAATTAAAAATATATATATATAGATATATATATTATTTAAAAATACAAATATGTTTTAAAATATTTTTAATTTTTGTGAATTCTCATATGGATTAATTAAAATTTAATAAAGTAAAAAAAATGCCTATATTATTTATTTTTACTTTATGTTATTTCTTATGTGCTTTTTGTGATACTATTAAATTAAGAAAGAACGTAAATAATATTACATACATAAATGAGAATAAAGATTTAATATCATTTTTTTCCCAAAATAAATATAGTAACTACTTTTTTGTTAATAATAATGGTTCAACGATAAAAAAGAATTATAATAAAAACAAATTATTTTTAAATATAAATGATTCCGCTGAAAATTCATTGACAATTGAAAAATTTAAAAGTAGTAATGGATACGATTTTTTATTTACAAAATTATTTATGAATAATGAAGAAAATAAATTTTTAGTTGACTTATGTAGTGATAATAGTTTTATTTTTCAGAAAAAAACGAAAATTTTAAAAAATGAAAAAGAAAATAATAGTAAAGAATATATGAGTTTAAATTATAATAATGAAAATATCCAAAATACAAAAAAAGAAATACATCTAAATAATAGAAAAGTAATTTCAGAAAAATCTATAAATATTAATTTTGGTACAAAAAATTTTCATTTTTATCTAATAAATAATGAAGAATTAAGTAAGGATTTTGATGGAATAATAGGCTTTGATTTTTTTAAAAATTTTGATAATTTTATATTTGATACAATTAATATGAATATTCTGTTGAATGAAAATAACTATTCTAATAACAAAGAGGATTTTTATGAAATTAAATTGCATGATTATTTTAATAATATTAAATATATTAACGTGAATGTAAATAATCATTTGCATAAAGGTATACTAGATACTGGTAGCTCTCGTACAATTATAGTTAATAGCGATAATTTATTTGAAGGAAATAATGAAGAAGGTAATATAACGATTGAAAATATATTAAACAACAAATATAAGGTTCAAAAAGTTTTTTTAAATAATTTTGATATTATATCTAGTGGAAATAAATTGATTCCGATTAATTTAAATACAATTTACAAAGGCAATCTAGAGTATTTAGATAGTAATGTCGTTTTACTAGGTTTAGACTTTCTATTAAATAAGAAAATTATTTTTGATTTAAAAAACAGATCTCTTTATATTTCAAATAATTCTTCCAATTCTTTATATGTAAATGAAGATAATATTTCCAAACATAAAGAAATAGACAATTTTGCATATAAAAAGGAACAAAATAATTCCACTAATAAAAAAATAGATGAATATCTTGTTGAACAAGAGTGTCAAAATATTTACGAAAAATTGAAGAAAAAAGAATTAAGTTTTTTGAAAATAACAAAAGAATTAGAAAGTGAAGATATTTATATAAAAGATTGTAAAAGTACAAATGATGTAATAAGAAGATATGCAATTAAATTATTGTATGGAACTAATTATTTAAAAAAAAATGATAAAAATAAGGAATTTGATATTAGATATAATGAAATGATTAATTTTTTCAAAAAATTAAGTAATGAAGAAAAACAGAATATGTTAAATAAAATTATCAATACAATAAAAAAAGATAAAAATGATTATGAAAAAGCATCCGAAATAATAGAAGAATTCGTTAATTATGAAATAAATAATAATTTGTATTCTTTGCATCAATTTAAATCAAATAATGTAAATAAAAATAATGAAAAAGCTTTGAATGAAGAATACAACAATTTATATAATTATTACACTGCTCATCCTGATTACAGTTTTGAAATTTTAAATGATTTTAAAAAAGAATTATCATCAAAAAAAATTAGCTTCAATGATTGTGAAGATGAGAAAGATATTATAAAGAGAATAGCAGAATCAAGGGTTTATAATAGCAATAAAGAAAATAAAAATAAAAGTAAAAATACAAAAAGAAACATAATTGTAAGAAGATACTCAAATGATGATAATAATGTCCATACACAAATAATAATCAGAAGAAATGGTGTTAATTCAGATGATTCTTCAAATAGTAATGATGATGAAAATGGATATCAATATGAAAATTTGGATAAGATGGATGACTTATTCCCAAATTCTTTATTCTCAGGTATTTTTAAAAACTTTTTTGGAGATAACAGAAATGAATATAATGAAGAAAATAGTGATCAAAATCAAAATGATTTATTTTCTGAATTAAATAACTTTTTTGGGTTTGGTAACATTGGGGATAATATGTTTAAGAAAAAAAAAAAAAGCGTATTAGGATTTAAAACAAAAGAACCAGAAACTAAAAATGATAATAAAGATGACACAGATATTTTATCAAAAGCAATTAAAGAAGAAAAAGATGTTGATATAATTTATCTTTTAAATAAAGTACAAAAATTAAATGATGTTAATTTAAAAAATTTTATATTACAATCATTAAAAAACGAAAATATAAGAAAAATTTTAGTTAATGCTGTTAAAAATGGATATAATAATACATACGAAGAATGTAAGAAACAAAACGATAACAAAAGTATGTATTTATTACAAATGTTAAAGCAGTCGGGGATATTTTAATTCTTTTAGAAAAAATACGTTAAAACATTCAGGAATGATTCATGAATTCAAAAAGGAAAAAAAGCATACGTAATTTTGTATATTTTATTATATATTTATGAAATATATTTTATAATATATAATTTTAACGAATGCTAATTTATAATGATATAAAAAATGTGTTTTATTGACAATTTTTTTTTTTTTTTTTTTAAATAATTTATAAAAAATTTTACAATATATATTTATTTTATTTAATTTTTTTTTTTTTTAATTGACAACGTATTTTTTATTTTTATTTTTCTACATTTTGTTGAATTGAGACTGCATTTTATATTACCTTTTTCATACCCATTCCAAAAATACAAATATCTTTGTTTACGATTTCATTTATTTATGTATATATCGTCGAAACTGATTATGCTTATTCATTGAATTATATTACATTTGTTTTTCTTAAAATAAAGTATAGGAGTAACTTAAATTTTAGCTTGCATATATATATGTATATATATATATATATATATTTTTTTTTTTTTTAACATAATTTTTTTTTTTTTTTTTTCTTCATTTTTATATAATTTTTATGCATTACCATTATATATTATTAAATATTTTGATCACTTTTACATATTATTTGTTTCATATAAATAAAAAATATTATCTTTAATGAATTACAAATTAAATGAAAAAATGTTTTTTTAAAATAATATGTTTCATTCTCCATTTTTACGATTCATTTATGAATTTCATTTTTATATTATTATTAAGAATCTTATTTATTAAAAACAAATTAAAATTTTAGTTAATATTTTTTTTTTAAATTAATCTTTTTCTATTATGAAAAATAACACTTTTAACAATAATTTATTTAAAATTTTAAAAAAATATAGCACTTCTTACATTCAATTTGCTAATAATAAACAAAATATAAAAAAATTCAGTAATTTAAAGAACATAGATTTAAGAAAAAATTCTCTTACAAAAAAAATAGAAATATTTATAGATGATAAAATACTATTAACTAATAGCAAAAATGTTTTTGCATTGGAAAGCTTTGACTTGTGTTTCTTAATAAAATTAGAATTATTAAGAAACAAAAGTGAAATGGATATTTTAAAAATGCCTATAACATTGTTTTCCAATAACCTAATTGATTTTATAAATATAAGTAAAGGTAACAAAATATTAAAAAGATGTAATAATAAAGAAAATTATTTTCTAAATAATGTCACAAATAATTTGAGCGATTCACAAAATTCTGAATATGATAAAATAAATGGTAGAATTGTTAACGAAATGGATACTAATGAAAAAAATAAATCTAAACAAGATTGTATTATTGAAAAAAATATCTTATTTTCCAAAAATACATATTATGAAAACAATGCATATAAAAATAATTTCTATCAAAACAATTTAACAGACACTCATTCGAATAATGATAAAAATATGGATAACTCTAATTCCTTTGAAACAGAAAGAACACTCATAGAAAATAAAATTTATGAAAATTTTAAAAATGATTTAATTTTTTATAGTAATAATGAAAAAAATTTGTTAAATACAGATAAGAAATGTTTAGAAAATTTCGTATGTTTACCTAATAGCGTAAATTATATTGAAAATTATAAAATTAACAACCTATATGAGGAAGAAAGTGATGTATTCAGTAAATTTTTAAAAATGTTTGAACAAATTCATGAAGTAAAATTAAATAAAGCTAAAAACTTTGAAACACCTGTTCAGAATAAAAATGCTCAGGAAAAAGTGCAAACTTTAATTAAAAATATGAATGATTCAGAAATTTTTATTTTTTACAAATGCACACAAATTTTAAACTCTTTTATATTTACATATTTATTTCTTAATAACTTTTTAAATTATAAAGAAGTATATCGTTATTGCAATTTAGAATATATATATCAATTTTTTAAATGGGGATATGTTTTCGACATAAATATTATAAAAGACTCTAATGCGCTGTTGATGTTATCATCTTTGCGCTTAATTAACAACATTTTAAAAAAGGAAAAAACGTAAATATATTACTAAAGAAATGCAAAGAGAATAAAATAAAAATAAGATAAAACAAAAAAAAAAAAAAAAAAAAGTTAATAAATATTAATAAAAAAATTAAAAAAAAAAAAAAAAAAGAATTAACAG